TTTACCCAAAAATAATCAAATATGCGCATTAGTCAGAGCATCCATGTGCCAAGTTTCATGAAATCCATGAGTGGTTCTTCAAAATCAGTGAAACAGTCATAGAACAGCTTAAAATCAGTTAATTATCATGCACATTAGGTAATTAATATTAATAGATTTTTACCCAAAACTAATCAAATCTGCGTATTGGTTCAGAGCATCCATGTGCCAAGTTTCATCAAAATCCAATGAGTGGTTGTTCAAATATCAGTGGAACAGTCATGGAACAGCTTGAAATCAGTTAATGATCATTCAAATTAGGTAATTAATATTCATAGATTTTTACCCAAAACTAATCAAATCTGCGCACTAGTTCAGAGCATCCATGTGCCAAGTTTCATCAAAATCCAATGAGTGGTTCTTCAGATATCAGTGGAACAGTCTTGGAACAGCTAAAAATCAGCTAATTATCATGCAAATTAGGTAATTAATATTCATAGATTTTTACCAAAACCTAATCAACTCTGCGCATCATCCCAGAGCATCTATGTACCAAGTTTCACAAAAATTTGATTAGTGGTTCTTGAGATAACGGTGGAACAAAAAAAGTGACATACATACATACATACATACATACATACATACATACATACATACAGACAGACATACAGACAGACATACAGACAGGGTAACTGCAAAGACTCCCTTTTGTGCTTCGCACACGGGAGTCAAAAACGCTTACATATTGGTGGCATAGATTGAAGGCATATGACATAATGGAAATATCTAGAATTCATTAAAAGTACTATAATTATGCAAATGATGTCATTAATTAACACATATTAGAAGCGAGACCACTTTGTGTACTATTTCAATGCACAAAGATCCACTGAAAACTTATATGGGGTTCTTGAAATATAAGTGTTTTAAATTGTTATGCAAATTTGGGAATCTATTTTAATGAACAGATTTTGAATGATCAGCGTCATGGATTATCCAAAAACATCCATATACTAACTAAATAATATTTTCAAAATATGCTTGTGTCATCAACATTAAAGGTCCATTATTGTGCCTTCTGACATTATTTTATAATT